CGATACACAATTGGGAAATTGCTGGGACATGGACAATTTGGTTACACCTATGTTGCCACAGACAAGACAAATGGAGATCGTGTTGCCGTTAAGAAAATTGAGAAAAATAAGGTATTTATAGAATGTTTTTATAATCCTTTGGTTGATTGAGCTTCTGGGTTCTTGAGATTTTTTTTGTTTGTCATATTCAAGATGGGATTTTTTGGGGCCAAAAAGGTGGGATTTTTTGTCCGTTAACTTAAAGGTGGGATTTTTAGGGTTTATTTGGATTGGAATTTTTTTTTATAATGGTAGGGGTGAGAGAATTTTGGCTTGTACTTTGGATTCTCTATTGGCTTTTTTATATATTAATTTGCTTTGTCTTGAATATGAAGCATGGCTATGGGAACCTTTCTCTTCTCTGTTTTGTAATCTAATGTGGAGAATTCGGGTTGGTCTTAATTAGACGCATCATTGCCTTAAGTATGGAAAAATTTGGAGGGGGATCTGCTATAACCTAGTTGAGCTAAGAGGATTTTGCATCTATTCGTCTTCGGCTTGACAATCTTATTACAGTTTTAAGATCTTGGTATGGAAAACTTGCGTAATAGCAATTTTGTGATTGCTAGTTTGCAGTAATTGAATTTGATTGTTATAATAATTGAAGCTTCATGAGAAGCTGCAACCTATAATCTGCATTATTTTGTGCTTCGAACTTTGATAGAAGTATGGTGGGGAGATTAAATAGAAGATGTTGTGGTTTCACTACATTAACTATTCTAAATTTGATAAGGTTGATATCTCTTTCGCTTTGCTTTCATGGTGGGGTGTTTTTTTGTTTTCCATCTCCAAATGCTACTAATCGTGATAACAAATGGTTTAGGGATTTGAGCAAGAAAAGTGTTGCAGTGTTGGCAACTTTAATTTCTTTTTTGCTTGATAAACATTCTAGCTTGATACCAAATAGCTTGATTTCCTGAATGTTGTTTTCTAAATCAGGTTAGGTGAGCAAGAGACTTTTTTTTTTCCTATCTTGTTGTGCAATATATATTTCTGCCATTACCATAGATGCATCATGCATGAGATGTAAGTGTTTGGCTGATTAAATAATCTGGATTGATTAAATTCTTTTCTTTTCCATCTTGAAGTGGGACTTTTTTTTTTTTCTTTTTTTCTTATTTTAAATCCCTGGGTTGGGTGCAGATGGTTCTTCCAATTGCTGTTGAGGATGTCAAGCGAGAGGTCAAGATATTAGAAGAACTGAAAGGCCATGAGAATGTGGTTCAGTTTTATAATGCATTTGAGGATGATTCTTATGTGTACATTGTTATGGAGTAAGTTTTATAATTTTTATCTTCGTTTCTTGCTGTTCATTCAGTTCGATTTTCTCTTAATCATGCCATTTCCTTTTTCTTGTCTTCTGATGTTTAGTTTTGCGCAATATATAGTTTTTTTCCTGGTGACACATCTTTGGCCTTTGCCTGCACTTATATGCTTTCATATCAGTCCTTCTATATCTTGACTATATTATGTGTTGGGGCTATCTTATGTTAGGTTATGTGAGGGTGGAGAATTGCTGGACCGGATATTGGCCAAGTAAGGATGCTTAGTTAATTAATTTTGGGATGGTGTTACTGCTAAATAATGTGTATTTATGGTCCAAATATAGTAGTTAGTACTTTGTTTCTATGTTTTCAAAAGTGTTACAATTGGTAGTAACTTATGCTTGCCATCTTCTATCAGAAAGGATAGCCGCTACAGTGAAAAAGATGCAGCTGTAGTTGTACGGCAGATGCTCAAAGTTGCTGCTGAGTGTCATTTGCATGGCATGGTGCACCGTGACATGAAACCTGAGGTATGCTCAACTACTTTAACATAGCTTACTCTTTAGGAAGTCATGCCACTTACTTATGGTTCCCTCGTTTTTTTCTTGCCTGTAGAATTTCCTATTTAAGTCAACTAGAGAGGACTCCCCTCTTAAGGCTACAGATTTTGGTTTGTCAGACTTCATCAGACCTGGTGAGTGGCATTTACTTAATGTTGAGATCTTATCATCGCACACGAAATAACTATGTTTTAAAATTATCAGGATGTATTTATCCATCTATTGTGTATTTTGACTTTTCCAACTCTTGTTACTATGCTTACTCTCTCTTCAACTTGCTAATGTTATAATCCTCATGTCACAAACATCCAAGCTATACTATCCTAAATTATGACTAATTGCAGGGAAGAGGTTTCATGATATTGTTGGCAGTGCCTACTATGTTGCTCCTGAAGTATTAAAAAGAAGGTCAGGGCCTGAATCAGATGTATGGAGTATCGGTGTAATTACCTACATTTTGCTCTGCGGGAAGCGGCCCTTTTGGGATAAGACTGAGGATGGTATATTTAAGGAGGTGTAGTACATTTCCAAATCATGGATCTTGATTTATTTTTTACGTTGCTTTCTATGGGTTAAGTCATTTTATTTTATTATTATTAGATGTAGACAGAAAATTGCATTTATGCTATGCTTGTTTCTGTACCATGCGCATGTCACATGAACTAATGACCATACTTGTGGATCCCTGTGACTCTATTTAATCCTTTATGCTTTAACTATTTATATGTCCATGAGGAAAATTCTGGAGATTTTTTTCACCTTCCAAGTAACTTTAGCTGTCTTTTTTTTCCCTGAATAATCATGCGTTTTCTTATGAAATTCACTTGACAAGGTGTGTCTAAGATGTGTTATCATCTGGTTTTATTTATTTATATAATGCATTTATTTTTCTGGAGAATTCATATGCAACTGTCTATAACTTCAGGTTTTGAAGAAAAAGCCTGATTTTCGTCGTAAACCATGGCCAACAATTAGCAATAGTGCTAAAGACTTTGTGAAGAAGTTATTGGTGAAGGACCCTAAGGCTAGACTGACAGCTGCTCAGGCCCTATGTATGTGTTTACATCATCTCTAAGTAAATTATTGCTTTTTCCATTTTTTTTTTCTAGCTCTAAGTAAATGGATATTATATGTCAAGTTTGCTATTAGCTACTAAAGTAAATCTTCTATTGCGTTATCATTTTATCCTCCTATTATTTCTGGAATATCTTATTGGTTTCAACTTCTCCAGCACACCCGTGGGTTAGAGAAGGAGGAAGTGCGTCTGAGATTCCTGTTGATATATCTGTTCTGAGCAACCTGCGGCAATTTGTGAAGTATAGTCGATTGAAGCAGTTTGCTCTGAGGGTAACATAATTTTTCTTCCTCTTGAAACATTAGTGGAATATTTTATGGGGATAATGGGCTACTGTTCCCTCCTTTCGTTGTTCGTCTCTTTATATATAATTATTATTACCTTGTAGGCATTGGCTAGCACACTTAATGAAGAGGAGATAGCTGATCTTCGAGATCAGTTTGATGCAATTGATGTGGATAAGAATGGTTCTATTAGTCTCGAAGAGATGAGACAGGTAAACATTTCTATCACACCTAACATCTATTAGGTTGCATAGAGCTTCTTTGTTTTCATCCTAATAAGGATGGTTTCAGTGCAGGCCCTTGCTAAAGATCTTCCTTGGAAACTGAAGGAATCACGTGTCCTTGAGATTCTTCAAGCGGTGAGTGCAGGTTTCCTTTTCTTCATCTGAAGGTCATTCATTTTTGTTTTTTTTGCCATTCTCTTGTAAATAGTATTTCCTTTTAGTGGTTTTGATTTTTGTGTTATTTATTTCCTTTGATCTCAGATTGATAGCAACACAGATGGGCTTGTTGATTTCACTGAGTTTGTTGCGGCAGCTCTACATGTAAATCAAATGGAAGAACATGATTCTGATAAATGGCAGCTGCAGTCACAGGCTGCTTTTGAGAAATTTGATGTAGATGGAGATGGGTTTATAACTCCAGAGGAGCTTAGAATGGTAAGTATTATTTTATGGTGTTGATCTTTTTTCTTCTGAAAAGAAAGAAAAAGGGAAAAATGATAATCCTACTGAGGTCATCAACCTCACTATTCTTCAATTCAGTGTAGCCCTGCAAGATTAGGTGAATGATAGGTTTGATATTATAATATATACAAAATTGCATTCATGTGTTTGGGGTGTCCTGATGTCCCAAGAGCCCAATGTTATTGCTAGCAGCATGTGTTTTTCTTTCTTAACGTTTTATGAAGAATGTTACTTGTGTAATAATTATGTTTCCATTATTCATATCGTGCAATTGTTTTGCAGCACACAGGCTTAAGAGGTTCCATTGACCCTTTGCTTGAGGAGGCTGACATTGATAAAGATGGAAAAATAAGCCTTTCAGAATTTCGCCGACTTTTACGAACTGCAAGCATGGGTTCACGGAATTTACCTAGTCCATCTGGTCAGCGAAATACTCGGAAGTTATAGGTTAGAATTGAATTTTTGAGGGTTGATCAGTGGAGAGCAAAAATACAAGAAGGAAAATGGAGCTTTTTTCCGGATTTCATGCTTGCTTAGTATCTGTATTGGATCCCAAGCATGTCATCTGCCTGTCTCCATCAGCATTCTAGTGACGCTTTTTAACTCTAGTTTTGTTTGATGGTACCTATTTTGGTGAATTCACTGCTGAGGGGTCTGGGATATAAGAGTTGATGGTGGCTCTAGTAGTGAGATAGCTCCGGGTATACGGTCACTCTGTGTACATTTCTTTGGTTGGGTATTTCTTGTTTTACCCTCCAAATTTGTAATATGTGACTATAAATAATTTTATCAATGAAAAGATGGTGCATCCGAATTTATTCACATGTCTATAGTATCCTGTCAATCAACCCTGCTGACTACTTATTATTGTCACTGACTCAGTGCTATGGAATCTGGTTTTAAAGAGTGTTGATCTTCTGAATTTGAGAATCTTGAGTCCAACAGAAATGTAAGATCCATAATATATATTTTGTTTATTGCATCAACGGATCTAGAGTAGGTCGCTCAAATGTGGTTTTTTTTTTTTTTCAACAGTGATCATGGCTGACAGCATATTGTTAATACCTGGCACACTCTGTCTCTCCAGCAAGAGCATCTTTATCTTGTCAAATGGTATCAAATTTTAACTACGACAGCTCCTCTTCAACTAACGAAATTTAACCATCCAACCAACGCGGGAATTCACGTGGGCAGAGTCTGATTACCTTTCCTTCTATATTAGGTGAGATGTCCATTTGATACAAGGCTGCCCCGCCTGATTGGCAAATGAGGCTTTACTGCTTGAAGGGTACTACTTGCTTCAGCTATCACCTCGACCAATAAAAACAAGAAAAGGAATGATTGGTAAATTATGACTGCTAACAGGGAAGTCCACAGTCAACTTGTTCCATGTTGGAGGTTTTGGGATAGGAACGGCTGACCTTCAGGAAGCTGAAAGGTCCATCAGTGGCTCAGGGGCTTGCAGAGTTGGGATCATTCATCCACAATGAAAAGTGGGCCTTCCATAGTTGAATTCTTCGACAGTTTACTTTCTAAAGAAAACTTGGCGGAAGGGGAAAAACAACTTTCAATCGGAAAGGAATACCGTGATTATTCATCATATTAAATCAGGATCAGCTTTTGTGCATAACATGGACAGATAATGTTCTAGTCTATGGTGTGGTTAAATGGGCGTATCGTGTTAAAATTGGTAGAAAACTCATCTGTTTGGATTTCAAAGTACTCTAATATCTTCTGCTATGAAGTTCTCTTTTACGAAAATAACTGGGGATACAGAGTCCTGACATCTTCTCCAATGAATCGAAAATTGCAATCAATTATATTAACAAAACGCGGATCTTGCAGCCATTATCATCAAAGTTTCCTCCATTGACAACAATTCCTTCGAGATGACATTACATACAGACCATTGCATGGATTTTAAACGAACACAATAGAATGATACGACTGTTAACTGGTATTAACAAAGAAGTTTACAAAGCACATACACATAGATGATGGAATCATCCCGCACCGGCCAAGCATTACTGATGATTTAACACAAGCTAAAAAGCATCTACCAAGTCAACCTAGGAGGAAATAATTAGAGTTTCTGTTTTAAGTCACATGGAAATGTGGAAGAGATTAGAATCTTCTAGACCCTCCACCAAATGCCAAAAGAATTTGGCAGCAAGCAGAAAATACACCCTTGTTTCCATACTTTTTTTTTTATACAACCCTTGCTTCCATATAGAAGATTAGTTCTTGGAACTTAACACATGTTTAAGCTGAAATCAATCAAAGATGTTACCAGGGGGTGTCACAGTCAAAACATGTTAGCTTTGAGATACTCGCACTCTGAATAGTCAGAGTAACAATATGAAAAATTGTTCATTTCTTGGACTTTGAAACATCATCCACACTCTTCGAGGAGCTATCCTGAAGACATTGAGATGAAGGGTGCTGGCTTGAAGAGCTACCATTCACCATACTTCCTTCTTTCTTCTGTGTTTGCTTGACTTTCTTTTCTCCAGCAGACAAATCCTGCATATGACATTCAGTTATATTCAGTTTTCAGCATTCCAGAGGACCCAGACACTAAAACAAGGGTTGTAGAATGATAAAATTTACCTGGTTTGTTGATGAGCCAGGCATCTTCAGTTCCAGTTCTGTCCCCACATCGTTAGAACCATCACATCTATCTCCATTACTTCCTCTTAGGCCATCCATTGGTTTGCTTCTACAATCCCTTTTGCTAGAAGTGCGGGAAGAGGATTCATGTTGAGATGATGGCTGTTCAATTGGAGGATTGGTGGCGGTTGGATATGCCATGAAGGTTGAGCAGGAATTAGCAATAGCAACTGGATTATGATTTCCAAAAAATGGATATTGCAGTGAGGGGTGCATTGCAATAGGGCCAGTAGAGACAGGCACAGGAACTGGATATGCATAAGGTGGAGCCATGACAACTGCAGGATCAATACCAGACCATGGGTACATGACCCTAAGCCTTTGCTGATACTGTACATTTAGGTTTTCAATATCTGCTTTTAGAGATGCCTTTTCTTCTCTGAGCTCATTCTTCTCCTGAGTCAGCTGTTTGGAACAAAAATGAAATTGACAACAACAAATATGGTGCCATAGTCTATAGGTATCAATATTTAAAGAAGTTCACCTCACGTGATTCTTCAGTTAGTGATGAACACTCAACCTTTAGCCTGTTGACTTCTGCAGTTAAATCCTTAAGAATTTGGATTGTGTCCACAAGTATGGTTGCTTTATCATTCTTAGGCCTATCTGGGTCTGCATTTCAAACTGTGATTTCTCAGAAATCAAGCACTTAATGTTTAGCAACAAGTGCATCAGGGAAGAAATACTGGTAACCATGCCTAAGATAGGTTTTCTTGAGGTAGGGACACAGGGTCAGAAAATTCAAGGTTCCTACTCAATCTAGTAGCACATATTTATGGAAGGCAAGCAATGAATATATCTATCCAATTATTATGAAATCAAAATTTTCAACCCAAGAAGGGAATAGACATCACTTCAGATCAGAGGAAAATGAATAAAAAACTGCAAACTCAGTGTGAGAGATGTTTCCAGAAAGAGCTATCCTTGGACCACCAAGTATAATGTAGTTAGAGAAAATGAGAAAGGTCTCAGAAAGTTGAAGTGCAGAAACTAAGACATTTCTATACTTCCTGAATTGATTCTGTTCACTGTTGTAAGCAATACTTTAACGTTTTACTCCTCTATGTGCATTGGCAACTATGAGCCGGAAACATGAAACAAAAATAACAAGACCATTTATCAGCAGCTTTTAAGTAAGCTAGGTTATTCAACCATGATTCTTGTTAATTGTCATTTAAACTGCTTGCATCAATACAATGGCAACAGTCAAACGCATCAGACAAGCACCCATAACAAATAACATGGCATTGAACTTCAGATTTGGTAGTTAAATTATGACTACTACACTAACTCACTAAAGAACTGCTCGAAACGATGAGTTTTCCTGGTAACATTTACAAATCCAGTGCCAACTGATCAAATATAAGCAATTAAACGAATCTCCATAACTTACCAAGCGTGTTTCCCAACTCAAGAAACTGTTCATTCAGCCTGTCCCTCCTCAATTTTTCACGGTCCGCCTTCTGAACTTTCCTTGCAGCTATTGTATCCTTAACTTCCATCTCCTGCCTTTGTCTGCCAAATAAACAAAATATGTAACCAATGAATATCAATTAGAATCAACAAATAGCCCACAAAAAGATACTACTTGTAGAGTTGTAGTTACATTCGGTTCTTCACAGATCAAATATTAATCAACACTAAAGTTATAAACAATAACAACACACATGAAAATTAAAAGGTGAAATATGAAAGAAAGGACACAAATTTAACAATAAGAAAAACCTGGGTTTAGGATTTGAAGGGCCCAAATCTGCTGCCACAGCTTTAGAGAAATCGTTGAGCTTCGATTGACGATCCACTGATGATTTTTAGCCTCACTATTGCACCCACGTTAAAAGCTATAAATCAAGCTAGGGTTTGACACTGGTTTTCTCCGGTTGAAGAGGATGATCCTAAAATTACTAGTAATTTTTTTTTTTTACTTTCTGGAGTGAATTCTGAGTTTCAGACACGGAAAGAACGGAGATCTTTTTTTTTTTTTTTGAGAAAAGTCGTAAATGGAAAACGAAGAGGAAACCACGACAGCACTTACTCGTGTTCTCCACAAGCCTCGACCACGTGCCGAACCTGTTCCTGGGCCTATCGGATTTTATTAAATCGTGCGAAAAAGACAGATTTTCAAGTGGTTCGTAGACCACCGTAATTTCAGTAGGATCCGTTGACTTTTACTTAATTGGCTGAAGCAAAGGTCATATCTGATTTACTAGCAAAAGGTTAAAACCCAAACATCTATAAAAGGCCTCTCAACAAAACCCATCCACAGGCCCAAGAAAGTCCCCCAAACGACACCGCTTAGGTGACCACCCTCACCCTGTCTGCTTCATTTTTCCCTGCTCCTCGTCGTTGGATTTGCAGCAAACCAGAAAAGAAAAGAAAAGAAAGAAAAAAAAAAAAAAAGGAAAAGGGAAATTAATTAAGTTATGATGAAATGAAGATAGTAACTTACAATGAAAATGGACTGAGGCAAAGAATCTCACAGTTCGGTTCTCTCCTTAAATTACTCAGTTGCTGACATCATCTGCATCCAGGCCTTCTAGAATGTCTAGAAAAGACGAAGCTGCTTCAGTAGCTGAAGGGCTTGAGGAGTCTTCAAGAGAGGGCCTTCTCAAGTTTGATAGTGAGGGAGGGTGCATTATTACGGATCATAGTCAGTTTGGTTAGTTTAATATAAGGTTCTTAATTGAATTGGTTCTTTTTAAGAAAACCCAATTATCTTAATCTTTCTTAATTGGTTAGTTTTTTTCAACTTGAATGGACCCCGAGCATGAAGTGATGATGGGGATAGGATTCAATTCAAGCTCAATCTTTTCAAGATATTAGAGGTAACGAAATTTGTTTCAATAAGAAAAATTTACGTGTAAGATGTAGAATCGGTCCAATGGGTGTTAAAACTGGTTGTCAGTGTTGTAGAAAAGATGGGAGTCTGTTTTGCATTGAGGAAGGAGGGTTTTTGTTGTTGGAGACCTGAACATTGCTCCTTGTGCTATTGATCGTTCTGATGCAGGACCAGATTTTCAGAAGAATGAGTAAGCTTCTGGCTGGCTTTTGTTACTTATCTGTGTCTACCATTGTTTCCAGCTCTGTAGACAGTATTATGGTTCAAAGCTGATTTTCTTTGAAAGTAATTAATTCAGTTGATGTTCATTGTAGGTTCAGTACATGGTTTAGATCCATGCTAATGGAATCTGGAGCTAATTTCTTTGATGTTTTCGGGGGAAAAAAAATCCAAACAGGTTTAATCTTTCTCCTTATGAAATTGATTTTACTGTAGCTGAGTAATGTACCTCCTTTAACATTATTAGAAGTTCTGCCTTCTTTTCATCATTATTAAGTGATAAGCATTACTTCTGTTATTGTAGAGCCCTTTTCATGATGGCTTTTATTGTTGTAAGGTTTTCAATATTTACTTGTTTTCCCATCTTTAACTTTGTTGCAGAAGAGAAGCATTTACATGCTGGCCATCAAATATTGGTGCTGAACAATTCAAGATCATATTCTCTGTGCTGGGTCTGGCTTAAATGTGGATCATGATGTGGAGGGACATAATTTGGTAACCTGCCAGGTAAAGGAGTGCAACATCTTGACAGAATACAAGCGGTGGAAGCCTGGAAATGCACCAAGGTAAAAATTAGATCCAACCATGTAGTTTAATTGAGCAATGACGTCACGATACTTAACTAGGACTTTCTTCTTGTTTCAATTTCAAATTTGAAAATTAAATATTTTGCTTTCAGATTACTTGGTGGTCATCCTGATGATCAAACATCTAAGTTTTGATGGTTATGCTCATAATCTTGGATAACTCACAGAACTATCATGTTATTCTAAATCAGATCCGACAATATCTGAATATGTAGATAATACTGTTCACATATTTTCCTATGTCTTGCCTCATGTAGTTGGAAAGGAGGGTGGAACATTAAATTAGAAGGTTCAGACCATGCTTCTGTTTACACAAGCTCATTGGAAATTCCTGGTATCTCACAACATAGCACTCCATCTTTAGCTGCTAGATGTCAACCAAATGATTCATGGTCTGCAGCAAACGCTTAGTATGAGATTCGTTCCCGTTTCTGGATGCAGTCTCATTTAAAATTTTGTAAATCTCTCTTACAGAATCGTTTCTACAGCATTGTAAATTTTCAAAGAATTTTCTCTTTCTTACCTTTTTTCTTGGACAGTGTCAGTTTTATTAAGAAGGCAATCTGCTAAACAAGTCAAATCTCATATAGTATAAAGTTCATTTTCTGATGAAAGTATCATCTTTGGAGGTTGCAGTCATAGTGTCAAAAGGTTGATTACTAATTGCCATGTACCTGGAGCCGACATATCCTGCTGTTCTTTGGACTAGGACTCTGGAAATACCATCACAAAAGTTGATCATTCTGAACATCTCAATGAGGAGGCTACTTGTAACACTACAATTGCATTCAAGAGGGAGTATGTCAGTTCAATGCCTAACAAAGAAACCAGGAAAAGAGCAAGAAAGAATCAACAGCTCTCCTTGAGATCATTTTTCCAGAAATGTCCAAACCTAGATAATGGCGTTGACAGTTCTGCTATGAATATTTCAACTAACCAGACTGGTGTCCTTGATTCTAATAATCAATCCCTGGAATCTCCTGTGATGGATGATCATGGATGCAGTCCAATGCATAATGACACACAAATGGGAGTACATCCTCAAAGGATCAAGAAGAACAAGATGGCAGTTGTTTTTTGGACTAAGAGAAGAATAATGTTGCTTTACTGGAGTGGCAAAGGATGGTGTAGAATAGCATGCCTCTTTCCAAGGGGCATAGAGAACCTTGTGTTTCTCAAGCAGTGAAGAAACCAGGTCCTACGTTTTATCTATTCATCAACCACTCTGGTCTTTGACCTGCAGTATACATTGGAAAGGTGCATATAGATGAAATTATTGGAGTTGTTTTTCTGGCATTTTGAAGGGTCCTTCTAACCCTGAAGCAAATTGTGGTTACTTCAGATGGGCTTCAATGAAATCCCAGGCCAAAATGATGCTGATCCTTCATCTCAAAGTTAGATGGAAGGATGAGCAAATGTCCTTCCCCTGCCTGACCCTCTTTTCAATACCAGCAGACTGCCCATTTGTAAATTATAGTATCCTGTTCAGCCTCTTTCCATACTAAAGAGTGAACTCTTTGTTTCATCCGAATCTAAAAGTCCTGTAATTGAAGGTCTTCCTAAGCTGGATTACATGTATTGAGGATGCTGAATGCTAGTTCATCCTGGATCATGAAATGGATCAACTAGTGGTTTAACACTGCACCTATTGAGGATAACAGGCATCAGCTCATCTTGTATCAACATAAGATCAATTTCCTGTAATTTGTTTCTTCTTTGCAAGCTGAATGGTGTGTTATGGGGAACAAAGAGGAGAATTTTTCTTTATCAGTCGGTCATCTCTTCATTCTTTCAGCTTTTAGTTCAAAATTCAAAGAGTTTGATACCTAAAACCCACTTCAAAAGCCTTAACGAGACACCATCCATTTGGCCCAAGAAAATCAAAGATTCAGTTAAGCAAATCATCAGCCCGATGAGCCCGATCGAGTGAGACTTCTTCAATTGGAAAGCCTGATTTGCGCATCTAAGGTACAAACCAAGCGAGTATATTTCCATTTTTTCATAAAAGATGAGGGACTCAAATGACTTGTTTTCATAATTTGAGGGCTACAAAATATCATTATACCATTTGATTTTCCTTTGAAACTAGCTAGAGTGTACATCGAATGAATGAGCTAAATCTCTCGGCCTTTTTCTTTTTTGAAATTTGATTTATCTGGTTTTTGCTTGATTTTTTTTTTGTTATACATTGAAATACTGAAATATAAAAATTATCTTTGTATAAGAAAATAATTACTAATATTTTAAATAATTAATTTTGTGAATATGGGATTTGTCCCCAATGCTTCATGTTCCACTAGCTAATCAAGGAAGACTTCTTAACAGATGTTCAAGGACATCATGCATTCAAAGTATAATAAATACTAAATATTAATCAGTAGTATCAATTTTAATTTCTTCGCATTTTATGTTAATTGTCAATGGTTTCTTTTTTTTTTCTTCCCTTTTTCTGAATACTAATCCAAAACATAACAAAATTTAATTTATTTAAGCATATTGGAAAAATTGAAGAAAAAAAAATTAAAGACTCCACAAATTGAGATTTTTTTTTGTTCTGCAAATGGAATATTATCAATGTCCATTTCATGGAAAATAGGCCAATATATAAATGAAAAAGAAAGATAATGAAAAGGAAAAGAAAGAAGAGAACTAAAAAAGAGAATCAAACCCAAAAATAAAAAATAAAAAAGAAAGAGATCAAATAAATCGATCAAATTAGAAAAAAACAACATCGAATTGTCACTTTAAATCGGATTCTTCCATCTTCTGTGGTCGCATTCATATTCTATCAAGAAAACAATACCCACCAACATAAAAATCCGTACTTAATTAACTCTCCTTTATCCCAAGGATCCTAATACCATCACACATCTTTCAGTCGGTCGGATGCCTTTAACCCTCATTTTACACATGCATAAATATTATTTCTAATATCTGTAACAGTAATTTTTAAAGCTTGTTTCATGTAGTTTTACCCTAAAGAATCAAAGCTTCCAAGCTGATCTGATGGGGGTCAAGAATGCACCACCTAAAGTGGATCAGATTCAAGTAAGTAGTGGATGTCCCTATCGTTTGTCACTGTCAGGCTCTATCATGGATTTCAAAACTTTTAGGAAGGACATGTATATACCCTGGAAAACTCCAAAAACGAATGAAGTTGTGGACTTTGGCTGGTAGCGGAAAAGCTTGGAGAATGGACCCTCACCCCCTCAAACAATACAGAATCTTGCCGAGGTACGTATATCAGAAAGCGAGATAACCTATCTCTCCATGATCATCTTCCCCTTTATATATATATATATACATCCACGATTCCATGCATGCAATTGCATGCTCTGAAATAGGGAAAAGGAAAAGTTGAAAAAGAAAAAGAAAAGAAAGTTTTCTAATTTTATTACAACAACCTATTCATGTTTGTCCTGCCTAGCTAACTACTTGGTTGTTATCCAATGAGGTTGCTTTTGGACAGTATTGCTAAGACGTGGATTCAGCACTTCCGCAGGTAACAGGAGGAAAAGACGAAAAACAAAACTGCGACACTGACATGTCCATAAATGTATGTCCCAAGTATCTGTTTCTTTTAGCAAATTTAACATGGATGAGACCATTCGAAACAGCAGCATTTCTGTCACAAATGTCAAAACATCCCGGGAAGAAAAGTACCCTTGGTATTTACTTCTCTCTCTCTTTTTTTTCCTTAAAACAATTATGTAGTACACTAAGACAATTTTTTTTTTTCATTTTAAGTGAATGGTACATATGTAACGTCAATTTCTCATGATCAACACATTTGTATATTGGTTTAGTCTTCCAAGAGGGGCCAGAGCTTATTAATCAGTGCTTCAATTTCTTAAAATAAATAGGTGAGCCAACGAGCTTAGCTCAATGTCATGATCGGCACCGGAAAGGCAGCCCGGGATCAAGGCATAACGCCTTCCCGGAGGTCAGAGGTAGCATAAGAATTAAAAAAAAAAAAAGTGAAAAAAGGAGAGTGATGGGCCAATGAAAGCACAAATATACCTAGCTAGTGAGTTAGTGAGTGAGTGGAGATCATGTGCCACGTGTGGTATGAACAAAGATAATTACTAAAGACATAAGCAGTGGCTACTCGATCGAGATTGGAGATGAACAATGACAATTAAGTAACACTTTAAAAGGACAATCACTTTGAGCTTATGGACATGGCTTGGCCTACCGTGATGATATACAACTTAATTGAAATTTGTGTGTGTGTGTGTTTTTTCGGTTTAAGTTTGAATCTTAAATTCGAGTGGAAAGATACAAGTGGTATGGGTACAAAAATGGGAGACAAGGTGACCCTCCTTGTTTAATTAACACAGCCAAAAGATTGGCTGAAATGTCATATATATGAAACTGATCGAACACATGCTCATGTTGAAAGTTTTTCAAGATGGATATTGTTTTGCATATTTTCAGTTCTCAATTATGAATGGCAAACATAGCTAGCTTGAATGGAAAAGAGATAGAACTAAAAGCAGTTAAAAAGTCATGGTTAATTTGCCTCCTTAGTTGTTGTTTGATTGATATGTAACAAATATATTTACTTAATGCAAAAAAAAAAAAAAAAACACCTTTTAATTCGTGCAAAACCATATATAGATTTTGGCCTTTATTACCATTTTAGACTGTTTTAAGCAATTTTCTTCAATTTTTTCTGTTTTGTCTTATTAGATAATATACTGAGAATTTTTTTCATCGAAATGTGGGATTTTTAATTTTAATGGTTGGAATGGCAAATGGCTGGACATTTCACTCACACCACAGAGCTCCCAAAGTACAGTTTCGAACAAAATAAGAACAACTTCCCAACCTTTGAGGGATTGGTTTGTTTTAGAAGAGAACATAGAAGCTACTGTAGTACCCTTTTTTTTGTGGTCGAACTGAAAAATTAATGGAAAGGTGAAGCTGTGCCATGCAAAGTACTCTGAAAATTTAACCCATAACCAATTCGTATGACAAATGATCGATGTTGTATATATCCTTACAAACTTGTTTGGTTGCTTCGTCATTAGTGTTATCTTGTCGTTTATATCCTTGCAAACTGCTGTTAACATCTAATATTAATTGTTCCATTTTCCAATAATATTTTGCAGCATCTGTTTTCTTGTATTATATTATCCAATATCTATCTAACACTGTTGTTTTGCTCATCCATTAAGTAAAGGTTCTGATCACTGCTCACAAGTCTACATTCACCATATTTACAATTTTTTTTTTGAGTTATTGTTTGGATTGTGACGTTTTCAGCAAGTATTTGCAAATGCCATATCTGCGGTTGCTTCCAGGAAAGATTTACGCTTAACTAGCTGCCAAAATATATGCAATGAACTTAGGACTCGAATCACTCACCTCCAACAGTACCACTCACGCCTCGTGCATTATATGATAGGAAGATAGAAGAAAAAAAATTTAAAAAAACCCCCAGATGGCAACTGACATGTTCTCTTTGAATCATCCATGTCAGCTTCTGAAACTATTAATGGATGCAGAAAGTAAATGATATGATAACTTTTCTTCACATCTCAAAAGGATCAGGTCCTTTACTTCTCTTTCAGTCTTTCTTGTTTTGCCCTGTAAAGGGTATATCCATCAGAATTTCTTCAAGAACTATGATTATATAAGTATTGTACATATCCAAGATGTAGGCATGATTAATCATATATGTGAAATCTTCAAATTTATGGTCTAAACAAATCAGATTCAGACCTCTCACGGGCTACCACTACGAACCATCGTTGATCGTTTGTACTCGGGATAAGCATATTGTTAGGTATCAGGTCAAGAAAGCTGTTTCATCAATTAGGACAATGGGGTCCTCTCACTCAAAAGAATTGCACAGAATTGCTTTGTGTTGATCTCCAGCTTGATGAAAGAGCCCTGACTTGTCAATAACAATTTAGTATCTTGTAAAAATAGGTACGTCTTTACTGTACCTTGATGTCGGGAAAATGTGGTAGTTACAGGGGGGAAAGGGACTGATTGAGCCTAAGCCTGGCATTGAAGCAGTATCAGTCAGATAATATAATTGAAAATCAACAAAAAATCAATTTCCTTGGATGGTCCTTTTCTTATTTTCCTGGTTTCAATATCATTTGTGAAATGAAATTAACTCACTTTTCAGCTTTTAAAGCTTCAAAGTTTTAACACTCCACTTAAGTGTGATGATGCATACCTTTTAAGAACATATATATATATATATATATATATATAAGCTTGACATTAAAAACATCGAAGTTTGAAGAAGTGTAAAGCTAACAAATATATGTAATTAAGCAGCTTCTTTAAGAAACTCCAACAAGCGTAAACTTAATCATCTTTCTGGGGTGGTTTCAGAAAGAAGTATCGAATTAATTCCACCATTATAACCTTACTATTCAATTGAACACTGATGGGGCAGTGACAATGATCTTCAAGTGCCATTAATTAAGCCCCTTCTTCTTATTTCTTTGTCAAGCCACTTGACAAAGAAGATCAAGAAGTATATTTCTATGAAAAAATTCATTGGAAGTGTGCATGCCACTATATATATACCTGAGAAATGTTTTATATAAACAAGCTATTAAACCTTCTTCATTTTATTTTGTTTTTTAACTACAATAAAATAAAGGAAATATTCATCTACCATGTGAATGGAAAGATGGCAGGCATGCATATATTTTGCAGAAAAACATGAACATGCTGACCACTTAGAAATCCACAGAAAAATAAACAATTTATCATGGTCTCAACCCATCACTCTCATTCTCATGATCTGAACATTTATGGAGTCAACCATGAGGATGTGAGACAACAAACTGTTAATAGATTACAATTTCAGTAGATTTTAATCATTTACATGTGAGAAAGTAACTTATCTCAATTAATGTGAGTTCAAACTTCTCAACCATATTTAATTAAAGTTCATACATAGCCACCAGCATGAGACTTTAGTCTCTCCTTTAGCTTCCAAAAATAGACCGAACATACTAAAAGAACTTTGGTTTTTGGAGGAATTATTAAGAGAAAAATAATTACTCCTATAAACTTTATTATAAAGGAAAGGCAAACCTAAAACCAGACCCTAATTAAAAGCCTTAATTCACAAGGTTGTCCATTGTTTGTTTTTATTTTTATTTTTATTTTTTGCTCAATGTTTTAGTACAATATTGAATGAAGCAATAACAATATTATTATATTATATATCCAAATCAAAAGTCCATCCAATCTGCTAACATTTTTGTCCAACTACTAGTTCATTAAAATATCTTTTGTCAAGACAAATACAAAGAATTTACAGCTGGAAGGCATATATTATATTGAGAAATGGTCATTTTTTAAAGCTTAAACTTAACCATCTCATTTTTTCCCTTTTATATTTCAATGACTAGTTCTCTCATTTATCTTGAATTAAAAGTGATAATGTTTTCAAATTTAGATTGAATTTGATTTAATTTATTTTGAATAATGTATAAAATTATCAATTTTTAAAATCTAATTTGAATTCAAATTAAATTTTTATATAATCTGATTCGAATCAGTTTAGTTTAATAAATTTCTTTTAATTTAAGTTTTTTTTTTTTATATATTATTTTAATATGATTTTTAATATATTTAAATAGATTTAGTTATAAAAAAATTATTTTTATCTTATAAAAATTTTACAAAAATAAAAATATATAAAAATATATAACTTGATTTGATTTTTTTAATTTTTACTTTTCGATTTGAAATTTAATTTTTATGTAATATATATATTTAATATTTAAATTTAATCCAAATCGAATATAAAAAAATCAATATGAAGTAAATCAAATACTATAATTTTAAATTCATTTTTTATTTTTTCAATTTTTTTTCACTCCTATCTTGAATTCATTTGTGATAATATATATGGTTTTGATCATGGTTCAAAATGAAGTCATGAAGTCAGTTTGAAATGTTTGCTATTGAAAAAAAAAATTAAAATATTTTCTTGAATTTGCTGATACGTTTTTAACTATTATAGAAAAATAATGAATCAAGTTATCGACAATTCAAAAAAAAAAAAGAAAAGGAAAAAGATGTTAGTAAAATGAACCATAAAAGGGTTCAAAGATACATGGAAATTCATTTAACTTGGGTTTGCATTTTCCTATTTTCGCTGGCAATTTAAAAATGGCCCCAATTCAAGTTTGCATCTTCCATCTTGCATTTTCATGTGAGCCAGATCCTCCTGGCCCCTTGTGTTTGTGCCTGTCAGTTGTCACTTTGGAAAGCGGCAACTTTTCTGTATTGATTGAAATTGATAATTAAGAAATAATAAAATAAATAAAAATGACAGCAACATTTCCGGATTATGATGTCAACTTTGTCTCATCCCTTCAGCCAAGGAAAACCACTTTTTTTTTTTCTAATGAATCAACCACAACAGTTACAAGGTAAAATCTATGCCTTCCGAGGAATACTATAAAGAAGGAAATGAAAACGCGTTTGACCTTGTAAACTCGTCCGCCATGAATGGCCTTTTTCTTCTTTCATCAATCTTCTTCACCTTTCTAACGCGTCCACACCCTGAAACAAAGGCAAAAAAAGAATACCCAAAGTCCCCGTAGCACCCAAAAGCGGCAGCAATTAACACTGCAAAACTTGTATTCATCGAACACCTTCAACTACCCCACTTATCAAGCCTTTTTGCAAGAAACTCCCAAAGTCCCAAACCCAACAAGGATCAACCCTTTTTCTCTATGATTTGATTTATTTAGTTTTTGATCTGATTAAGTTTACCTTTTTATTTTTGTTTTGTTTTTTTGGTTGTGATGGCGGATGCAGTGAAGCAAATCTTGGTGAAGCCGATTCAGTTAGCGGACCAAGTAACGAAAGCAGCGGATGATGCAAGTTCGTTTAAGCAAGAGTGTGCAGAGCTTAAGTCCAAGACAGAGAAACTCGCTGGCTTGCTTCGACAAGCGGCGCGTGCAAGTTCCGACCTTTACGAACGTCCTACGCGCCGCATAATCGATGATACCGAACAAGTCCTCGAGAAAGCTCTCTCTTTGGTACTCAAATGCCGCGCCAATGGCCTTATGAAGCGCGTGTTCACAATCATCCCTGCTGCCGCGTTCCGTAAAATGTCTTCTCAGCTTGAAAACTCAATCGGCGATGTTTCCTGGCTCCTACGCGTCTCAGCTTCCGCTGACGATCGCGACGATGAATACTTAGGCCTTCCTCCGATCGCTGCAAACGAGCCGATTTTGTACCTAATTTGGGAACAAATCGCGATTCTTTACACCGGTTCGCTTGACGACCGGGCCGACTCGGCTGCTTCGCTTGTTTCGTTGGCCAGAGACAATGATCGGTACGGGAAACTGATTATAGAAGAAGGAGGGGTTGGACCGTTATTGAAATTAGTCAAAGAAGGGAAAATGGAAGGCCAAGAAAACGCCGCCAGAGCAATCGGGCTTCTGGGTCGGGACCCGGAAAGCGTCGAGCACATGATCCTCTCTGGAGTTTGTACGGTGTTTGCGAAAATCCTCAAAGAAGGTCCGATGAAAGTTCAAGCCGTGACGGCGTGGGCGGTGTCTGAGCTGGCAGCTAATTATCCGAAATGTCAAGATTTATTTGCTCAGCATAACATAATTCGATTACTCGTCAGTCATTTGGCGTTTGAAACGATCCAAGAACATAGCAAATATGCAATTACTAGTAACAAGGCGACTTCAATCCACGCTGTGGTTATGGCGAGTAGTAATAATTCGAATGTGAATAATGTGAAACATGTTGTTGATGAAGATCATGAGAGTCAGATTCCACATCCGATGGGAACCCAAACGCCGAACCGGATGTATAATGTGGTTGCCAATACTATGGCAATGAAGTTGCCACAAAAGCCGAGTAATAATCATGTTAGGAGCAATAGTCAGGGCAATGTCATGCAAATTCATTATCAACATCAGCAGAATGGTTCGGTTTCGGGTGCGAATATCAGGGGAAGGGAATTGGAAGATCCTGCTACCAAGACTTACATGAAAGCAATGGCAGCTAGAGCTTTATGGCATCTTGCTAAGGGGAACTCGGCTATTTGTCGGAGTATTACTGAGTCTAGAGCATTGTTGTGTTTTGCGGTTTTGTTAGAAAAAGGAACTGATGAGGTGCAGTTTAATTCAGCTATGGCATTGATGGAGATTACAGCTGTGGCAGAGCAGGATACTAATTTGAGAAGGTCTGCATTTAAGCCGAATTCTCATGCTTGTAAGCTTGTTGTTGATCAGCTATTGAAGATTATTGAGAAAGCTGATTCGGAACTGCTGATTCCTTGTGTCAAGGCTATTGGTAATTTGGCTAGGACGTTTAGAGCAACGGAAACAAGGATGATTTCCCCTTTGGTTAAACTTCTTGATGAGAGGGAAGCTGAAGATTCTAAGGAGGCTGCGATTGCGCTTGCCAAGTTTGCTTGCACAGACAACTACCTACACCTTGATCACTCCAAGGCAATCATTAGTGCAGGAGGTGCAAAGCATTTGGTTCAACTAGTGTATTTTGGGGAACAAATTGTTCAACACTCAGCATTAGTTCTCCTATGTTACATTGCCCTCCATGTACCGGATAGCGAAGAACTTGCCAAAGCTGAAGTGCTTACAGTGCTTGAATGGGCATCCAAGCAATCCCACATGACCCAGGTTGAAACAGTAGACCCACTTTTACAAGAGGCCAAAAGTAGATTGGAGTTGTATCAGTCTAGAGGTTCAAGAGGGTTTCATTGATTCAACAGCTTTTCCATTGCAATTTCGTGTTTAAAACAATATCCCATCATTTTGTTTTGAATTCATCATTCTAATGGAGTGTACATACAGTTAGAGGTCTTCCATAGATCATCATAAGTATTTCCTGTCCTTTGCAGAGTTGCTGCTTATTTTCTGTGTCCTCATCGATTGTCTTTTGAGTAGCACGGCTGGTGTAAGGCCAGAAAAGAGTTCAAGATGTTTACCAGGTCATATCTGTGTTCCACATTTTTTTTTTTTGTTCCTTTCTGAATTTCTTCCCCTTGGGAATCAAAACTGTCTGTTGGTTTAGAAATTAAATTTATTTATATTATTCGAAAAGGATTCAGTTTGCATTATTGATACCTGACAGGTTTGTGACATTTTGGTTGGAACAGCTGGAAATGAGTTAAGGTAGGGAAAAGTTGTCTGAAAAGATTGCTTATTATCTGGAAAAGAAAAGAAAATGGGGGGTATGATTTGAAGGTGAAATAATAATTGGGTAGGCTTCTCTAAGTTTTACTGACCTGACATTCTTGTGGTTTCTAACCACCCTTAAAGAATCATTCAAACTCAGACCTCAGGGGCTTCGACTCCTTCAAACCAACTGGTTTGACTTACTATTACCTTTCTTGGCTTCTCATCTTGCTTCCCACCAACAAGAAGGTGATTCTTCTACAGCTACTTTCCCATCAGAAAACGTTCTTTTTGTTTTTATTTTTTTTTTCTCTCTCTCTCTACTATTGGTAAAAGCAGCCTCTCATAAAACTATACAATAAGCAAATGGAGAGCTTCAAAGCCAAGGCTTGGTCAAAATTGACCTGTTCCAAAATACAATTAACAAGTTCAAGTGGATAAACATCCATGCATGTCAAATCCACCCACAGGAGAAGACTGGATTTATGATCAAATTAGACATGATGACTATCTTTCCTTGTTTAACTAAAGGCTAAGATCCAACTCAAAAGAATCGCCTTCGAACCTAGGAAGCTCCTTATTTCTTCTTTTCACTCAGTGGATGCTCCTAAACTGTCACAAGACATCACCTGTATGAATATTGTTCCTATGGCTTACCTAATAATCTCCATTACATTACACATCATATGGAGCACATGGATTTGGTGATACCCCATTTCTTTAATGGCAATCCTTCTACATCAGGGCAAAAAGTCATGAGCCGAAGTCAACGGGAAAACACCTTATAAAATGCAGGTGGTATACATATTTCAATCACTTTTGTAGCCCCCAAAACTTTGGGTTTAGACTTTAGACCCATAATTAGTAACTACAGACAGAAACGTCCGCATTTTGACGTATTTGGTGCATGCGTTTACAAAGATATGAAATTAGTAGCACTGGCAAGAGTAATCAAAAGGCTAAAAAGGACTGATGATGGATTAATCCTTAGTTTAAGGGATAATCAAGATTGGGAAAGGGAGACGTTTTCCATTTCTGCGGCAATTGAATGTAACATAATGATAAATTGACTCTACTCCTACCAATCTGTTAGTCAACTGTAAATGATTCACGAAGCAGCTTCCCTGTAAAACAGGTCAACTAGCACCTCGCCATCCACATGTATCGCCTAACTTAAATAATTTGCATTATTAATTTAATTAATTTAGTATTTTCATCTGATTGAAGTTATCAAATCATACAAGTAAAAGGTGATTGTCTAGTGGTTGCTTGCTTCTACTTCTGTTTTTTCTTTATTTCAGAAACGTGAAGTTTAGGCTAAAGAACGGGTCGAAATACTATTGTGAAACATGAAAACTTAAAAAGAGGTCAAAAGCTAAGACTCCAACATGAAGCTTTTGAAAGGAATAGGTACGATTACAAGCTAATAGAGACGAATTCAATGATACTTTCGAACAAGAAAAGTCTATTTTTATATGCATCCAAATAATTAAAAGATGAGTCTAAAAAAAAATTCAACTGAATCGACCTGACTGGACTTTCTGAAATGGTCTGTGGACCATTTCTAATCATGGACTAAGTGGGCTAAAAACTGTGATTCTTAATATAATTGGGTTTTATGAAATGTTCAGACTGCTTACACATGAATTGAGTGGGCTATACCTGTGATTCTCATCAAACTAACTGGGCTTCTCAAATGGGTCCATGGTGGACTGAGCTAAGATAATCCAAAGTAATTTGGATCCCCCGAAAATTTGTTGGTCACTCTAAATAAATTCCCATTTTGATATGCACTATGTTAGTAATATTGTTAAGAATATTTGGTTGGAAAACCTGAAATCCCCAATCAAAACCTGAGAATTGTTTTATTTTTAGTGAACCATATCTTAGATAGCAACTGAACAATGAACATCTGATAGGTGGTGAAAACAATGTATGGTAACAAACTTCTGATGATATAACCACAATTTTAAACAAGTTTTATCCTCCTCCAATCTCCAATCCTTACTACAGTGAAATTTGATTGCAAATTTTGTCAAAACCATCAAGAAATTATAAACTTAGCACTATTTCAATGTCACATGTGAATAAATAATTTATGAAGTTTGGTGGCTTGGAAAGGAATAGAGTAGAAGAAAGTCATTATATATGCTGGTGTGAGGGTCATACATTTACACATGGACTTATCCTCACTGAGGCCACTGCATTGGCTTTCAAATCTCCTCCACCCAATTCATAATCCAAACCCAATCAAATAGAGAAAAAAAAAATCACATTCTTTTTTATTCCAACGCCTCACTTCTTCACCAACAGCCCATTAGCTAGCATTTTCCCCTATCCTTTCTTCTTTCTTCATTGTCAAAAACATGGCTGCTGTAACTGCTGCAGTCTCTTTTCCTTCTACCAATTCCACCTCTCTTCCTACTAGAACCTCTATCATCTCTCCAGAAAGAATCACCTTCAAGAAGGTAAACCTATCATATTTGTGTGTGTGTGTGTGTGTGTGTGTATGTATGTTATCTTATCTCTTTCTTTATCTTTTGGCAGCGCTATATATATCGGAAGTTCATCAGCTGCTTTTTGCTTTTCAGGTTCAAGTTTACTACAGAGATGTATCCAGTGGGCGGAGAGTAGTTTCTGTCAGAGCCCAGGTTACGACTGAGGCTCCTGCTAAAGTTGTAAAGGAATCCAAGAAAAATGAGGAGGGTGTTGTTGTTAACAAGTTCAAGCCGAAGGACCCTTACATTGGCAGATGCCTTCTAAACACTAAGATCACCGGTGATGATGCTCCTGGAGAGACTTGGCACATGGTCTTCAGCACTGAGGGTATGCAAACTAATTTTGCTATATTCATATGCTAACTTTTGAAGATAGTTCTGCTAAATTAAAATCATCAAAAGCCTGTGTAAAGAACAAGAGAAAATATTGGATTTTTTTTATTTTATTTCATGCAGTTATATATATATATATAGAGTTTTATGTACATCAATATATACGAGTATAATTTTATAAATAGATGAGTTAAAATGTTCAAATTCAATTCAAAATCGAATAACCAGGCAAGAAGTTGCCAAAATATTGTCGACGAGATTCCTGTTGTCTGCTGGTCACAGCTCAAATGCTAATGGTGATTATTCCCATTCCCATTCCCATGGTGCTCCTTGCATCGTTATGATATTATTATCCACAACTCTAATATTTGACGATCAAATAATAAAAGTTTGCTAATCTTGAGATAATTAATTAGCTGAAGTGAAAAATACTCTTTCTTCTTAGCTGACTGGTTGGTTGGATTGGCTCAGGAGAGGTTCCCTACAGAGAAGGGCAATCCATTGGTGTGATTCCAGATGGGATTGACAAGAATGGGAAACCTCACAAGCTGAGATTATACTCTATTGCTAGCAGTGCTATTGGTGATTTTGGAGACTCCAAAACTGTGGGTGTACCTTCTATAGGATCATGATTCATATTCAAGTTTTAATTTTCTTTTCACAATGAGATGCAAATCAAATGCTGGATATCTAGAATAGGCTTTGAGCTACTGGCAAATCGATAAGCCATTAGCATGTTCCTCTAGTTTTTGTTTGTTTTTTCATTTTTGGTTTGATCTCATCATATTTTTGCAGGTATCCCTATGTGTGAAACGGCTAGTCTACACCAACGAGAAAGGAGAACTTGTTAAAGGGGTCTGCTCAAATTTCTTGTGTGAGAATGCAGGACTTTTATATTTCATCACACTATATTACTATTGCTTTGAACAATTCATGTTAAAAGATTTTAACCTCTTGTTAAAGTTATTAGTACTTTTAACTCAAATAGTTGTGAAAAAGGTAGAAATAGACTTCTGGAGGATTACCCTACTGATGCTAAATGTTTTAATCATATCTTCAGGTGACTTGAAACCTGGGGCAGAAGTTAAAATAACAGGACCTGTTGGAAAGGAAATGCTTATGCCTAAAGATCCCAATGCCACAATCGTCATGGTTTGTATATTACCAAGCTGTTAACATACTAAATTTCATTATCAGGCATTGATTGGAGATTCCATTTTATTCACTAAGTGCTGGTCCCAATCAAGATTTTCAAACTCAGCTACTTCATTGCAGCTTGCTACTGGAACTGGAATTGCTCCCTTCCGATCATTTTTGTGGAAAATGTTCTTTGAGAAGCATGACGATTACAAGGTAGAATGAATATTTTTTATCTTCTTTTAAAAGGTCTTATTGCTAGCTATTCTATAGTTCAATGTGTCACATAGCAAACAATGCATCCAATTTAATACTGAAAACGATCGTGATCATTATGTTAATGCATCTGAATTAAGCTGTTGCAAATGAAGCCTGTTATAACCTGTGGCATTAACTCATCAAGGCTAATATAAAACATAAATGGCATCGATCTCCATGACCACGAAGCAAAACATGAATAATTCCTGAACCAATTAGATATGGTTATTGTACTGATGAGTGCTTAACTTCTGACATGCTCTTTAGTTCAATGGTTTGGCATGGCTCTTCCTTGGTGTCCCCACGAGTAGCTCATTATTGTATAAGGAGGTGAGCAAGCTAGAATCTTATTCTTGACTGATCTGATTCTGATATGCGTTGCCTCTTAACTTTCCGGAAGCAAATGCTGATTTTTTCTGTTGAGATTTTCACTGAAACGTCAAATGTTTGCGTATAACAGGAATTCGAGAAAATGGAGGAGAAGTACCCTGACAACTTCAGGCTGGACTTTGCTGTGAGCAGAGAGCAAACTAATGAGAAAGGCGAAAAGATGTACATTCAGACCCGGATGGCTGAATACGCAAAGGAGCTATGGGAGTTACTCAAGAAAGATAACACCTACGTCTACATGTGTGGATTGAAGGGAATGGAGAAGGGAATTGATGATATAATGGTGTCACTTGCTGCAGCAGATGGTAAAAAAAAAACAAAAAAAAAAAAAAAACCCAAAATTTCACAAGAATAGGTAGAGAATTTCTATGTATTATTCCCCTAATGCTGGATTTGCACTATCTTGCAGGTATTGATTGGACTGAGTATAAAAGGCAGCTGAAGAAATCTGAGCAATGGAATGTGGAAGTCTACTAACTTTGGATTACATGTATAAATCTCCCCCTCTCCCATTTTTCTTTTTCCTTTTTTTTGAGCAGCCATTGTACAAATCTTTGGGTAATGTTTGAATGGACCATAAAACTCTGTGGAATTTATTTTGTCTACTTCCACTTTATAGGATGACCATTCAATGTCTTAATTTTAAGCTTTCACTACCAATATATGAATATCTTTTATCCATTTGATAGGTTTGCAATGGGAGTTGAACTTACTGAGATATTACTTGTATGGCTTTGTGTGAACGTTGGTTTCAAATTGTTTTAATCAGTACAAATCATAACTGCAAATAAATAGGGTTCTTCCTTATTGGGGAAATGTTGCTTGTAAAGGCCTGTCTGTATCTCTATATTATACTTGTCCCATCCTATTTTGTTCAAACATTCAAAGGGACCTTCTTTTATTAGTTCTATGCAATGCTTGAGTCTTTAAGTTTCACCTCCAAATTGCTTGCAAATTGCAATTGATTCAAAAAAAAATTTTTTGTCAAAAATTCTAAATTTATTTACTTATTTATAAAAGGAAAAGAAAAAAAAATCCCATGAACTTAATTACCCCAATTTTGGCGTTGGCTTTGGCTTAGGGTTCTATTTCCCTATCCAATCTACCCCTATAAATTCCTCCTCTTCTCCACCATTAAAACCCTAAAAAAAAGGTCTCTTCCTTTAAGATCGCAAATAACTCTCATCTCCCACGAATGGTTAAGCAACAACAAGAACAAGAGCTATCGAGATCCACCGGCAAGGTCTTCTGGTTCAATGACCAAAAAGGCTTCGGCTTTATTCGACCCGACGATGGCGGCAAAGATCTCCTCGTACATCAATCTTCAATCATATCCGACGGCTTCCGTAGCCTCGCCGAGGGCGAATCCGTGGAGTTCATTGTCTCCCGAGGCAACAGCGGCAAGACCCAGGCTGTTGATGTCACCGCAATCGGGGGCTTTCCTATCAATAAGAAGGACCATCGCAGTGCTGCTGGAGGTTGGAGGGGCGGAAACGATCGGAGGAATGGGAGCGGCGGGTGCTTTAACTGTGGGGATGTTAATTATCTGGCCAGGGATTGCAGTAACAACGCTAGTAATTACAACAACAACGATAATGCGCCTAGCGGCGGCAGTTATTGTTATAACTGCGGTGAGGCGGGGCATTTTGCTAGGGAGTGTAGGAGAGATAACGGCGGCGCTGGGGGTGCTGGAGGTGGGAAGTGTTATAACTGTGGGAAATATGGGCACTTTGCCAGAGAGTGTAATAAAAACAGTGGCGGCGGCGGTGGAAGCGCAAGCGGAGGCTGTTTTACGTGTGGGGGATTTGGGCATTTGGCGAGGGATTGTAACAGTAACAGGGAAACAGAATGTTTTAAATGCGGCGAGGCAGGGCATTATGCGAGGGTGTGTCGGAACTTGAAGGCTTCGGCTTAAGCGGGAATGTGGGAAAAAGAAGAGTTATAGTAAATATTTATCTTTTTCTACGTTTTGGGGTTCTATGATTTTTGGAGGTTATGCACGAGGATGTTCTGGATTATCCATTTTTTTTTCTCTTTCGGGAAGGGATTATTCCAATTTTGATACATAGATGAGCTGGTTCGGATAAGGATTTTAGCTTTTTTTTTGTTATTTTTCATTGTTCTCAGTGACTTTGGCTTTGCTCTCATTTGAGTAGCTTTTATTTTCAAGTGTGAATTATTGTTTTTTATATTCTCATGATGCAAATTTTCTTTAAATTTTTATAATGCTGCATTGATCATCTATGTTTTGGAGGAAGTTGTAGTCTTAATTTGGTGGTATTTGATCATCATTTTGCGCATTAATCTTTTCTTAGATTACATTCCTGATTCTACTATTTGGTTTAATGCACACTAGATTATTGTTGTGTAAGGGTAGAAATTGTTGTTTCTTTGTTAATGTCTTTTCTTTTCCTTTGATATTATGCTCTCTTCATGGTATCTTGTCAACAAGAAAGATTATAATTGTAAATTGAATTGCAGTCTTTCTTTAGGGTTTAGGGAGTTATAGTCATGTCTGTTGTCAATTTGATTGAGGCTGATTGGGATTATAGTTTCATTAATTTTGGAACTATGTGCATTGTGCCTTTTGTTTGGTAATGACACTATTGAATTTGACACCTGTTCAAATTATTGATGAGTAAGGTTTGAATTGTTGATGTCGCTTTGTCCTAGCTTGTTGATGGAAGGGATCCCTGTGTGAGCATAGTTTGACTTGGTTTTGTTGCATCCATGATCTTTATGCCCTGCCCCAGGCTTCATAGCTTCCTGTTTTCTGCTGTAGTTTATCTTATGGATGCTATGGTCAGATGCGAAGGTTCAGAACTTACTAGAAAGGTTACTAGATGGCGGAGTATATTGGAATTGATGAGTTATTAGATAAGCTGGTTCCAAATTGCAAGTAACGTTCCTTCTACATTCTTAGCTTGGGTATCTGAACAGAGTTGCTATTATATGTTATGCTGGGTATTCGCTCATCTTTCACATTTCTGATGCTCTAACTGGAGTTTTTGATGTCGTCTAGCTAGTGGTAGTGATATTTGATGCTAATGTGCTTTTGATGCTCGGGGAGGGGGGAAGGGTGATAAAGATGTTTGATATAGGAATGGTGGGTGGTCACTGGTCGGTTTGGTTTGGTATTGTAAGGTCAGCTATGAAAGTTATGACTATAACTTAAAGACTAGCATATATTGGCTTTTGTAAAATTAAGTTTATATATGATGCATTGCCAGCATTCCTAGTAATTAAACATTTGTAAACCAAATCTTGCCATGTTATATCATTGTTTAAAGATGTGTTAAGTCATTGGTTATTGATATTGCACGATTGCATCGAATATAAGTTATAGTGTTTTACCATATTATGTTCCACCTTAATAAGGAAACATTTGCATGTTTCTAATGAACTGCTATTCATGATATAAGCAGTTAATCATTCTAAAGGCATCATGAGTGCTCATCTGCAATATCAGGGACACTTTGTTTACTGATGCCCTGTTCGGAATAGGGTATCTGAGAACAGGTTTAGGATTGCTGACCTATGCGTGACAAGCAGGTAATGGCATGCTTCATTTTGATTACAAAGCTCTCAATTCTTTTTACTTTCCTCGCAAAACCAATGGTAGAATAAAAAGAAAGAAAGGTCAGAGAACGGGCTAGGCTATTTGAGATTGATAAGCACGAAAATTGTTGACGTTAGCCTCTTTCCTTAGAAGTAGTCAACTGTTTATATTCTATGATGAATGGACGAGAATGAACCCATAATTTGTGCTGTTAAATCCTCTTTCCTGGGACATAATTTCTATTGGTCACGAATAGGATAATACTAATTAGCACATCAAGTTTACCATTACCGTCAAGTGGCTGGTAAAATTTTATATTAATCGAAACCTTTTCCACTCTTCAAAGGGTCGCGTTTCCCAGTGCCTATTCTTTATATATTTCCTTGTCCTTTTTCGCTTTAATAAAATTCCAATGTTGACAGAGAAAGCCCATAGCTATTGGTATCGGCTAGTTACTGTCGAACATATTGTAGCTAGACTTGGACTAATATTATAGAGGCTTCATGCAACTCAGATTGTACCCAACGTTCCCTCGTTTGTCCAACAATTTTAAAATAGTAACAAGTTGCACAATTATCATCCCTTGCCTAACTTCCTGGATAACTTGCATATCAGATAAACATTTGACATGAATTGTGTTGACTGCATTGATTAAAATCACGAGACTCCTCTGATTCTTGTTCTTTTAATTTGCAATAACGTATCAAAATCAGTCTCGGATTGCAAGACTGATGGTCTTTGTCCTTTGTTTTTCTCAATTCATTTCTTTGTAAGCTTGGACCCGACCTTTCTGTAACTTCAAGGGGAATAAATTCACCAGCTGTCACGGAATCCCACTGCACCTCCTAAATACTTCGAAAAGCCTATTTAATCATTGATATTTTCCATTTGAATATTTCTCTAGTTTTCTGCTTTTAACGTCGGCTTATAGGGACAATTTTTTTTTTGCTTTTCCCAAGTATAAGCAACGTGCGAAAATACATTGGACGGTACTGACCGACTTAACAGTTTGCAGATTGAGCATGTGCCTCAGCATATATGCGACTTTGCCCTGCCCACACAGTCCATATCTCTTATGTAACATATGACATGGTAACCGCTTCTATTCTATTTTATAGGTTAAATACTTTTTGAATATAAACACTCTTTGTCCGCCCCATCTTATTCTTAGTCTTTTTTTCCCACCAAGTGCTGGCAAATCTAGTTGTTCACAGTCCTCTTTTTAGTGCCTTTCTTTCTTCCCTCCTTTTTCAATGGCTGCTCTTTACCTTTCCATTGTGTTGGTTATGTTCTTCCTTCAACAGTTGTCAGGTCAGAATTTTCTTACCAATTAATTTCTCTGTCGTTCGGTTTTTTTTTTTTTTTCCCGTTATTGGTGTTGGTTTAATTTCGTTTTCCTTTCTTTTTTTTTTTTTTTTTCTACAGGTGCTCATTCATCAAAGTTCACAATTGTAAACAAATGCAACTATACAGTTTGGCCAGGGGTGCTGTCAGGTGCTGGAACCCCACCAATTTCACCCACAGGATTCATTCTTCAACCAGGCGAATCAACATCTTTCTCTGTTCCAACGTCTTGGTCAGGTCGCTTATGGGGTCGAACTCTTTGCACTGAAGACTCTTCTGGCAAATTCTCTTGCCTCACTGGGGGACTGCGGCTCATCTACTCTAGAATGCTCTGGTGGGGGTGCCATCCCTCCTGCCACCCCTGCAGAGTTTACACTGAATGGTGCGGGGGGATTGGATTTCTATGATGTTAGCCTTGTTGATGGATACAATCTACCAATAATGGTATCCCCACATGGTGGAACTGGAGGTAACTGCACCTCAGCTGGATGTGCTGCGGATTTGACTGGTGACTGTCCTCTGGAGCTTAAGGTTGTCGATGGGGGTGATGGGGTGGCATGTAAGAGTGCATGCGATGCTTTTGGGGACCCCCAATATTGCTGCAGTGGAGCTTATGCTACTCCAAATACGTGCAAGCCCAGTTCTTACTCCCAATTCTTCAAGACTGCATGTCCTACAGCTTATAGCTACGCCTATGATGACGGAACCAGTACCTTCACCTGTGCTGGTGCTGATTATGTTATTACTTTCTGCCCTACCCCTTCCACCAGGTAATAAATGCATAGCAAGTCCCTTGGCTTTTATGATTAGTTGATTGCATTCAATTTACCAATTTCAATTTGATCGGTTTCTTCCCTTCTCCATGTCTCGTAAATTTGTTTCTTACGTCATTGGAGTTCCTTAGAGCGATATGGCATTAAGCAAATCAGGGTCAACCCATATCTTTTAGTTGAAATTGCTCTATTCTTAAGGTTTTAGTTCCCCACTGAATCGGTTGGAAGTCATATGGGGACCATTGATTGTTTAGTCCGAGGTATGGCCTGCACGTTCCTTTTTAATATTTATCTTGATATACTTGAAGTCTAAAAAATCTGCACCGTCCCATGCTGCAAATGCAGTGCACCATTTATATTCACACAATCATCATCACGTTGAACTTCTTTTAAATTTGTTGGTTGGCTGATGTTGATTTGTATTTGCAGTGTCAAGTCCTCCAATCCGATGGCGGTTGACATCTCATCTGTTTCGCCGCCTGTTTCATCAGCTCTCATTGGCGGTGCCATCACCACTTTGGCGGCAATATGGCAGTTGTGGCATCCCTTTTGGACAATGCCAAGCTACTAGCCAACAACATTAGGAACCTTTTCCGATATTGTTCTTTCTATGCGGCAACTTTGACCTCCGAAGTTGGGTCCCAGCAAACTTCAGCAATTTGCATCCTGAATGGAATTGAGTGAAGAGAGAGAGTTGGCCATAGTCCAAACATCCAATCATATCACATTATCACCGACCTCCATTTTCCTTCTCCAAATTTCTCCAACTCGAAAGAATAAAAAGCTATGATTTTCTTTTCTTCTCCTTTAAATGTAGTATATGTACAAAAGATAGAAACGTGTATCACACATCACCAGCTACTTTTTCCCACTGAATCTTGAAGGAAAGAGCTGGCACGATGAAGCCTTATTGTTCTTAATTGATCATTGGACATAAATTGTATGTAGGAACAGACAATGATTAGTTGGCTACGTTAATTTTTTGCAACTGTCGCCTTCTAATGCCAACTGAGATGAGTTCAATATCCATGTTTGTTTATACGGAAGGGATTTTCTTTTTCCCTTTATCCCTGTTGCCTATGCCTGATGATGACAATTATTTAAAGATTTGTTTAGTTTAAGACATGGTGTGGGTTTGGCCCTCATAACTTAATTGTTTTGCCAATGATAGACAATTAAAACAATATTTTGATTGCATCTGATGTTTCAAGTATAGTTTTCAATTTCTTATGGGTTTGATCCGAGTATGTGATTAATTTATTTGCTTGATAAATTTAAACAGTAATAACATATAAAAATGTTCGCCGCATGATCGAAAACATTTCTTTCTTACCAAACATATACAAGCCCTTATTCTTTTTTACTTTTTTTTTTTTTAATTTTAAATGTATAAGTTTGTGGCACACAAGGAATTCCTGAAGTCAATGGAAGCATGGAAAAAAATGCTTGTTAATCATTTGACTTGTAGTGGAGAATATCATGGTTGAGGGATAATCTTGAGTACAGAAGTGGCAACATTAATATGCGCATCATGATCGGTACTGATGATTTCTTTCTTTCCAAATCTCACAATTTTATCAAAGAGTTTGGCCTAAAGCCTCAAAATGTGCTATGTGGAACTAGTTCACATCAGGCGTGTGGACAAGCCTAGCTAGACAAACCAGTAGGAAAGCCTGGACCATCCATGAAGTAGCTTAGGCTGGTTACTTTCAGCCTTCAGGTATCACAGAGTTCTGATAAAACATGTAATCACCGATCTGCAAATTCTTTTTTTTCTTTTCTCCGCATAGTTGCAAAAAAGAAAAAATGTTAAACATGTGAATATTTGTCTCCTGGGAAATATTCGATAAAATTGAAAGCAAAATTTGTACTAAAAGATATTTGTGTATTATGCTTGTTAGATTCTATATTCAGATTTCTGAGAAATATCAGGATTAAATTGTGTGAATATTGAATCTAACTAATTTGGAGTTTCTTCCATAGTTGAGGTGAGAAAAGAGAAAGGGGATTGAAGTAAAGCAACCTTGTCTTTCAAATGTCGTTCCAATAATTTTTGGAATCATTGGAGAATTTTAAAGAAATAATCTCTCTTTTTTTGTAATTATTAGAGCACGAAGACTTGTACTCGATTTAGA